TGTACCAAGTTATTGCCCCTTTCATATAAGATTTATCTCCCGTGAACGTAAAATTATTCTATTCAATTTACATTATTATAAATTATATATATACAGCAAAAATTTTTCATATAATTTTATAATATATTAAATAAAAATTTTGATAAAAAGAAAATTATTTATTTATTCTATATTAAATAAATAAATAAAAATTTCCTTACATAAAGAATTTTTATATATATGTTTCATTATACAATCAGAGAAAAGTTTTCTTCGATAGTAACAAAATTTTATTTGATTCAAATAAATATTTATTTACAAATATAAAACAAAATATAAATATATTAAATATATTAAATTATATTAAAACAAATATATTAAATTGAAATAAATATTAATTTATAAATAAAAAAAAAATGTGAAAATAAAACAAATATTTATACAAATGCAAATAAATAATTATTTGACATAAATAAACATTTGGCTTTATTTTAATAAATTTTTCAAATTGAAGAAAAAAATTTATTGAACTAAATAAAATTTTAATTAATTCAAATTTGGGTAACTGTACGATTTTATTATTGCTGAATCAAGAAAAAAAAATTGGTGTCAAATTTCATTTCCAAGTTTATATTTATAAAAACGTAGTTAAACATAAACTTTAATTAATAAAAAATTCAAAATCAGAGATGAAAATTTACTTTCCAATTGAGAGCGGATATTGACTTGGAATTTATAAATATCAACGATTGATAAATACTTGACATTAATAAATATTTTATAACACGATATATCTCTCACACATTATCTATTCTCGCAGAAAAAATATATAAAAAATATATAAGGATGATAACTTGGTATATATGGTTCATTTATTTGTAACTGACCCACATTTCTAATATATATAAAGGATAATTGTTTCTTTTTTTTTTACTTGCGAACGATTCGAATCGCTACTTGTCGCATTCGTCGTCTTTTAACTTTTCTATCGATTCGTAATTTCTTTTATTCAACTTAATCTTGATTGCGACGTTTTTCTTCGATACTGCCGCGCGCAATGTTTTTTACACAAGAGTCTTTGGAAAATTGAAATTATCCGATAGATTTAAGAAATTAATCAACAGTTAGAAACAATTTCATTTGATTTAAAAGAGAAAATTTCATTTAAATTCAGCATAAAAAATCGATTTAAAAAGAAAAGAAAAGTGAATTGAAAGAAATGTTTATTTAGATAAAATATATTTGGGTCAATCCATTATATTTCGAATGAAGTGGTCGCTGACTAATTTTTAAAAATTATAATACTTTGCAGGAATGATTTTGAAGTTATCAAGATCCCGAAATGAAAAGAATTTTAATAAAATTTTAATTATTTATTGCAAAATATGAATTTAAAGTATATGAGGTGCTGAAAACTGTCAATTTTTTAGCCATTAGAAAATATGCAAAAATACGTAGAATTTACCATAAAAATAAAAAATTTTTTTTGTAATTTACTAAGAATGAATAAATTTATCATTATCAATTGATGTAATTATTTAAATATGTGAAATAATATATAAAATATGATTTTCAAGTTCGCCTGTCAAATAACCTAAATTTGCAAATTTCATCTATTAAATGTGAGAAAGAGAAGTCATTAAATTGAAAAAAACCTTACCAAATATAAAGTACCTGTGACTAACTTTTAGTTTTTCTTAGCACTTTTTTCCTTTTTTCTTCATAAATGTGAAATAAAAAGCAATAAAAATTGGCACTTTGCTTATTTTCACTATTTTCAAATGTAAATAACTTTCTTGGAGAAAACTGAAAAATTACAAAACTTGGGCAATATCTAATTGATCACTAAATACACACACTGGAAAAAAATTCGCTTTGGTCCCGAAGATACTTTTTGAGATAATTAAGTTTAAATTTTTCACAATTTTTATGAGGTTAATGCATGTGATTTTTATAAAATTGAAGTTAGTTCAAAATATTTAACCAATAAAACCTAACTTCGTCCTTAAAAAACTACATGTATTAACCTGATAAAAATTGTGAAAAGTTTAAACTTAATTATCTCAAAAAGTATCTTCGGGACCAAAGCGAATTTTTTTCCAGTGTGTGTATTTAGTGATCAATTAGATATTGCCCAAGTTTTGTAATTTTTCAGTTTTCTCCAAGAAAGTTATTTACATTTGAAAATAGTGAAAATAAGCAAAGTGCCAATTTTTATTGCTTTTTATTTCACATTTATGAAGAAAAAAGGAAAAAAGTGCTAAGAAAAACTAAAAGTTAGTCACAGGTACTTTATATTTGGTAAGGTTTTTTTCAATTTAATGACTTCTCTTTCTCACATTTAATAGATGAAATTTGCAAATTTAGGTTATTTGACAGGCGAACTTGAAAATCATATTTTATATATTATTTCACATATTTAAATAATTACATCAATTGATAATGATAAATTTATTCATTCTTAGTAAATTACAAAAAAATTTTTTTATTTTTATGGTAAATTCTACGTATTTTTGCATATTTTCTAATGGCTAAAAAATTGACAGTTTTCAGCACCTCATATACTTTAAAGTCATATTTTGCAATAAATAATTAAAATTTTATTGAAATTCTTTTCATTTCGTGATCTTGATAACTTCAAAATCATTCCTGCAAAGTATTATAATTTTTAAAAATTAGTCAGCGACCACTTCAGTCGAAATATAATGGATTGACCCATTTTTTAAATTCATGTAAAAAAAATATTTAAAAAAAAAATGTAAAAGAAAAACCGCAGTATCGAAAGAAACTCGAAATTTAAAACTATTTTTTTTAAATTAAAACTATTTTTAAAACTTTGTGAAGGAGAATTCATATTTATGACCCTACATTTATATCATTCACTTTCTGTCTTATTTCTCTTGAATAAAAATTCACCTTTTTTTTTGAGACATTTGTCTATCTCAAAAACTTGCATGCCACATATACAGATATTTAAGAAAAAGAGAAAAAAAAGAGGATAAAACCTCCTTATCTGTCACAACGATAAAAGCTCTGAAAAAACAAAGTAAACTCTATTCAGAGTTCTCGGTGTGCACGCTTGCAATTAGGGGAAAACGAGTGAATCGTTCGGTAAACATACAAGAAACGTCGAACTAAAATAGTATAACTAGACAATTTTTCTAAACATATGCATCATTAAAAAAAAATATTTAAATACCATAGACTCTCGATAACTGACCTTTAATTTAATATTCAACAAAATTATTTCATATTAACTATTAAAAAAAAAAAAAATTATTATAAATTATCTTACGGTAACAATAAAATTATTATTATTAAGAATTAAAACAAATAATTTATTTATTAATTTAATTAAAATAAAAATAATTTAATTGTCATGAATAATATATCAAGAGAAATTTTTTATTCAAAACAAATATATAATATATTTGAATTAAATAAACGTATATTTGTCTCAGAACCAAATATTTGGCCATTTATTTGGCGTAAATAAAAATTGCATTTGGAATAAATAAAATTTTGGAACAAATAATATTTTTATTTACATTAAATAAAAATTTATTGAAAATAAATAAATATTTTGCCCTGAGACAAATATATAATTTCTCTTATAGTATATATATAATTGTGATGACAGGAAAATACATAAAGGAATGTTAAACTGACAATCAGATTATTAATATATACCCTTTCAGAGACAAATAAATATTTAGCAAAGAAATAAATATTTATTTGTTTGAAATAAATTTTATTTGGTTTAAAAAAGAAAATTTATTTTAAATAAAAAAAATTGCGTCAAATAAAATTTTATTTGTAATAAATACATTTTTTTAAAACAAATAAAATTTAAATCTATTTGAAAACCATTCATCTGGTTTGTTGTTGCTACAAATTTTTTTTGTTAGTTTAACGATTGGAAATTGTGATGACAATTTGAACCAAATTTTTTATTTCTATATTAACAATCCGATTATTAGATTTATTCCTTTTTTTTGTCCATGATAATATGAAAAAAAAATTTAATATAACTAATTAAAATAACTTTCTTTTTTTTCTCCCGACAAAATATTATAAAGAATTATATTGAACGTCGATTTATCGAGTTTCTACTGAGGCTACTGAATCCTGATTATAATAAAAGAAGAAGTATAAAGAGACACACAGCTCAACTATAGTTATTAAGTGCACTTTGCATTAAATATTTGTCTAGAAATTAGATTACTAAAAAAAATTTAGATTAAAAAAAAATGTAGTTAATATGTAAATAGAATGTATATTGAAAATATATTTGCATGCTTATATTATATCTGTATAAAGTACGTCTAAGTAGTTTGTTTGTTTATTTGTTTTATCACTATTTGCGTAAAATTTTCTGTAAAACGCATAAGTAAGTATGCTGTTTTCAATGAATTAAAAATTCAATTAGTCTATTTTATATTCTGTTTCTATGTATATCTATATATATTCGTTTGAGTGTTACGACCTATTTTCACACCTGTTTTTTTTTCTCTTTGTTGTTTCACCCTCTGTAAATGCGATGAATGCTAATTTGACTGGCCTTTTTTTTTCTTTTTTTTTTTTGTAATTAAACAATCATTCGAGTGTTGTCTGGGTACGAGTGAATCTGAAATGCGTGTTCTCCCATTTCAAATAAAAAATGATAATAGTAACTTTTTAATAATGACAAATTCAAGCCACAAGAACTCATGAAAATTTCCTACTAAATAGAGGACAAGAAATCTCGAGGCTTGAGTTTTATAATAATAATAAAAAAAAAAAAAAAAAAAAAAAAAAAAAAAGAAAAAGTAGAATAGAGTAATAGCGAGATTAGTAAATAAATGAAAGATTATTAAATGGAAAATGAAAATCGAGAATAATGTCGTGAAAAGAATAATATACAATGGCAATATATAATAATCTTTCATCTTTAGAATCATATATGTAAGAATTGTGTCATTTCAAAAACTAATCGCTCTTCATCTTTTCTCGGGGAATTTATCAACAATTCCTCGATTTAGGGACATATTTCAATTGCATCATGTTCATGGTGGCTAGCAGCGTTGTACTCACCGTTGTGGTGCTCAATTATCATCATCGAACTGCCGATATTCACGAGATGCCAAATTGGGTAAATATTTCTTTCCAGCTTCTCAAAGGACTTGAAGAAATCACTCCAGTTTTTCTGAAAATAATTTTTTTTTTTTTTTTTTTATTAATAACAATACAAAAAAAATTCTATTAAATTATTTTACATAAAAAAAACCAAAAATTCTCTCTCCTTCAGGAATTAGTAAAAAAAATAACTAATTATTAGTAGAAAAAAATTAACTAACAATTAGTTTCAGTGGAAAAATATTCAAAACTAATTGAACCTAGTTACCAGAAATTTTAGTTATATTAACACAATCGAAAAATGAATTTAACTAATAATTAATTATTTTTAACTAAAAGATTAGTAGAATTATTACTATTTAAATCAATAACTAACTTTTTACTATCAAATTAGTTATTTTTACTCTCTAAATTTGAATTAGTAAGAATTTTGACTAATTCTCACTTTTTGCTTTTGAATTAGTTAAATTATACTAATAAAAATTTTTTTTACTATTAATTAGTTAAATTTTTCTAAAAAATTCAGTTTTACTGAATAAAAATTTGACTAAATCAAAATTCTATTAAATAAAAATAAGTGAAAATTAATCGAAATTTTTGTTAAATAAAAATTTGCTTTTTTACAAAGTCAAAAATAAACCACAAAATATTTAACGTTACAAAAATTAATACAAATAAAAAAAGGTTTCTCTCATTGAAAAAAAAAGAAAAAAAAATAACAATTGAATTAAAATAAAAAACGTCAGTCAAGTTATTTTTATTTCACTTTTTTTTTGTTTCAAACCAATAAATTTATAAAAAAAATCCTCACTTTTTTTCTTTTGAATTAGTTAAATTTTACTGCTAATAAAAAATTTTCCTACTATTAATTAGTTAAATTTTTCTAAAAAATTCAGTTTTACTGAATAAAAATGTGACTAAATCAAAATTCTATTAAATAAAAATAAGAGAAAATTAATCCAAATTTTTTGCTAAATAAAAATTTGCTTTTTTACAAAGTCAAAAATAAACCACAAAATATTTAACGTTACAAAAATTTATACAAATAAAAAAAGGTTTCTCTCATTGAAAAAAAAGAAAAAAAATAATTAACAATTGAATTAAAACAAAAAACGACAGTCAAGTTATTTTCATTTCACTTTTTTTGTTTCAAACCAATAAATTTAAAAAAAAAAAAAAAGATGTGAATAATAAAATTCCTAGTATTTTGAATTCACGACGAGTTGAATCATAAAAGAAATAGCTATACAGTAATATCTAGCTAGTAGTAGTCCTCACATTTTAATGCCACTTGTAAGTCTTACATTTTGTCGAGAATAAAAAAAAAAAAAAATTTTCTTTTACACATTTTTTTTTTTTACAGATAAAGAGGGTATTTCTACAATGGTTGCCGTGGATTCTAAGAATGTCTCGACCGGGTAAACCCATTACGAGGAAGACCATTCTAATGAGCAATCGGATGAAGGAACTCGAACTTCAAGAAAGGAGTAGTAAAAGCCTATTGGCGAATGTCTTAGATATCGATGATGACTTTCGTCACGGCGGTGTCAACAGTGCAAATCAAACTACCGGTTACATACGGTTAATAATATTCTTCAAAAATTTATAATACGAAACAAACAATTTTTTTTTTCATTTATAATGACAATTTTCAATAAGGAAACAATTTTTTCTATCTCTCACAAAATTTTTTTAATTTACTTTATTATTATTATAATTATTATTATTATTATTATTATTGTTATTATTTTTATTATTATTATTATTATTATTATTATTATATATAATAATAATATTAGCAATACTAATAATAACAATAATAATATTAATAAAAAATATTAAATATAATAAAGTAAATAGACAAAAGAATAATTTCAAACAAATCTATATTTAATGGGAGGTGAATTAAATTTTATTGATCGCATATATTTATGAAGTGCATAATTTTCAATTGAATTAAAAGCATTTTAAATTTAAACTTATAAAATCAATCTACTGAGTGGCTTGTGCAATCGCACGAGTTCACAGTAGTATAACTTGAGTTTGGTCATCCAGATGCCACAAAGTGGCTTTTACTACTAAAAGGTTTTCTTGCTTATTGAAGAATTTCCCCCCCATGAAGAATAGAAGAATTAGCATTCTTTCAATAATTGACCAACAATTATTTATAATCGATTAAAAAAAAATCCAGAGCAAAAAAAAAAATGTTTTGTATTTTCATATTTATTTTTTTATTAATCATTAATTTAATTTTTTTTTCGAATTTTAATTAAAATTAAATTAAAAGAAAAAAAATATTAACTCAAAATACAAAAAAAGTAATAAAATTGCAAAAATAAAATTGTAAAATGAGAAACGAAAACAAAAAAAAAACGATGTTACTATATATATTGAAAGTGTGATAATTGGTATTCATTTGTCATTTATTTAAGTATAAAGTTAATTAAAATTTGTTTTTGTGAGAGATTCAACGTCAAGTAAAATTCAAAGAGAAAAACCTTTGACAACAACAGGTCGGTGTATGGAACACCGTTGACTGGTCGACCTGCCACCGTTGAGGAGACTTCAGCTTCGCTTCCCCTCAGCGGTACACAGAGGGAATTACAAACGATTCTCAAAGAACTTCAATTCATAACGGGACGAATGAAGAAAGCTGATGGAGAAGCCGAAGTCATTAGCGATTGGAAATTTGCGGCTATGGTCGTTGATAGGTACTTTATTTTTAAAACTTTTAATTACAAAAAAATAATTTAATTGGACAATAAATTCTTTTAATATAATCGGATTTGTTGCAAAAAAATTTTTCTTAAATCACTTCAATAATTTTTAATTTTTCATTAATAAAATAATAATTTATTTGTGCATAAAAAAAGTAATAAATAATATACTATAAGAATAAAATAAATAAATAATAATAAAAATAATATAAGTAATAAATAATAATAAAAAAAAAAATTATGGCAAATTCGAGGATTTACAGATAACTCTGTTAAATTTGCAAAAAGATCTATAAAATTTAGCAGTAAAGCTGTGTCTGTCTTTATACGTTTTAACTGATACTATCTGTAAGCCCTTTTTATCTTCCCTCCATGATAACCCAGAACTTTAAGAGATTGGTTAAACGAAAAAATAGAGGGGAAAAAAAAAGGAAAGAAGAAAAATTTTCTTGCGATATCACTTGAAAATTTAGGAAGAAAAAAAAAGATATATGTCACGATTCTTTTATATTTGGAAAAATCTATTCATAATATTCTCGTTTGAAAAAGCATTTGAAATTGAAAAATTCAGTTCAACTTTTCAGTCACATTGAAATCGCATTCAAATTTATTCTTTTAAGTTTCAATGACTTCCTGTCAGTTTTGAAAGTAAGTTTTTAAATTACATCTTCGAGGGTAATATAACCAGCAAGTTGGATTGTTGGACAAGTAAGATTTTTCTTTATTTGAGAGATCGTTGATTAAAGGGAATCATATATATATATATATACTGAAAACTATAGAGTTTTGTTTTCCAGTTTTTTGTACGCGATATATGCAAAAAAAGAGAAAAAATCAATTTTCCCTTTTCATCTTTATTTTTAGTGAAAAAAATGCAATAAAATAAAAAAAATAAAATAAATAAAACGAAATGAAATTTTTATAAATTATTTAAAATTATTAAAAATTATAATAAATTATAATAAATTATTATAAAATATAAATTATTATAAATAATTCTAAAAAAAAGTGTATAATTGAGTGTTGTGACAAATTTTTGAATATTTTTTTTTTCAAGGACTTGCTTGATCATCTTTACGTTGTTCACACTGATAGCGACGGTAGCCGTATTGCTTTCCGCGCCTCATATAATCGTCCAGTAATAGACTAGCGATAAGCCGTCGTGATCAAATTCGAAGAATAATCCTGCAGCTACGATTCCCTGGCATGAGGTGAGAATAAACTTATTTTTATCATTTTACAAGGATTTCAAAAATGACTCAGCAAATTTTAAAATCGAAAGAATTCTTCTTTATCTCATAATTCTGATTTTAAATTCAAATTTATTTTTTTTCCAATTGAATTTTTATACTATATTTCAAAAAGTAAAGTTACAAAAATTTATATTCTCAAAATTCAGATATTTTTTTTTATATAAAAATAATTTTTTACAAAAATAATTAAAGTTTGAAAATTATTTTCTTTTTATAGGTTTTTTTTTGTCCTCTATAAAAATAGTTTTGAAAAAGTAATCGCAAGTTTTATACAATGGAATAAAACAGTTTAGTCAGACGGTTGGCGCATTGTATAACAGTTCTTTTTAAGTTAAAGTGTGCTGGTCTGAAATATTATCAAATTTTGAAGTAATATTTAAAGTGCTCTGACAATCGTGAATTTTCAAGTAGATAAAAATTGTTTAGCCAGACATATGGCGCAGTGCGGTCGTATTTTTCTCGTTGAAACATGTATTTTGATTTCAGTACTATCAAAAAGTTGATGTAATATTTCAAGTTTCTCAAAAATTATAATAAAGTTTTGCGAATAAAAAAAAAAAGAATTCTGTACTTTTCATTCTGAATTTTTAAAAATAGAAAAAAGAATTTTATGTTTTGTCTGACTGAAACTGATTTTTACTACTTGTAAAAGAATTTAAACCATATTGTCTGACTAAAACGACATTTTTCTACTGATACTGGTACTAAGAATTGTAGACTCTTTGTCTGACTGTAATTCGTCTTTACTACTTTTTTAAAAATTAAAAAAAATTACGTCTGGCTATAAATGACAACCTGCATTAGAATCACTCGATTTTCAACAGTTTTGTCTGACTAAAACGAAAATTTACTACTAATTACAAAATAGCAAGAATTACAATTTATCTGACTAAAACTAAGTTCTTCTACTGATAAGGATAAAAAATTTAAGTCTGACTGAAATTTTCTTTTACTACTAACAGAAAATAAACCATTTTGTAAAGTCTGTCTAAAACCATCCGATTTTAAATAGCAAGAATATGAAAAAACATGTCTGACTAAAATCGTATTTTACTACTTATAGAAACTGAGGTTTTCTATTGATACCAAACATAAAAATTGAAGAGTCTGACTGAAATTTTCTTTTACTACTGATTTTAAATAGAATAAATTTGAAAGCATTTGTCTGACTAAAACGGTATTTTACTACTTAGAGAGTTATAAGAATCGTAACCTGTCTACCAGACTAAAATAATAAATTCAAATATTGTGTCTGACTAAAAATTACTATTACTACTGGCACCAATTGTAAGTCTGACTGAAAATGACTGTCACTACTTACATTTGAATTACTCAAATTTCAAGTTTTGTCTGACTAAAACGAAAAACTACTGATTCCAAGATAACAAAAATTAAAATTTGTCCGACTAAAACTGAGTTCTTCTACTGATAACTAACATAAAAATTAAGAGTCTGAAAACCCATTTTTACTACTGATAATAAATAATAAAATTTTTTACAGAAAAAAATTCTATCTCCTATTTAAGAATCTATTTTATTCTTACAGTCAGAAATATTAAAAAAAAGAATTACCTAAATTTAAAAGTATTCTTATACTCGTATTATATTCCATTACATCCTATTAAATATAAGGTAAATGTCCCAATTACCGTCACTTTTGCTTTAGTAATTGTCAAATAAGTAATTTCATAATTAAAAGTTATTGAAATAATAATTAATATAATAAATTATTTTACCATAAATTATTATAAAAAAATAATTATTTAAAATTAAAAAAAACAATCATTATTTTACATTTAAAATTAAATTATTAAATCCGTAAGTAAAATTTAATTTTAATCAAAACTAATTAATAAAAAGGAATGTAAAATAAAAAATTTTTATTTGTTTTTTTTTGAAATTACTTTTTTTTATAATTTTCAACCAAGGACAGTGACAATGACTGGGGCATTTACATTTTATTATATTCATAAGCTTAAAATATCGTTGTTTTTTTTCTGCCCTAAAGTATAATAACATTTTACGATAAATGGTGATTGATCTAAGATAAAATCTATTTGAACAGGTTTCGCAGAATGAATTCCTGATGTGTATGGAGCGTTGACGCCCCCTATGTATATGTATACATAACAGAGGGACTCAGATGCGAATGAGATTGACCTGGTGTCACATGCCAAGTGAAGTAGCGCGAAAGAGAGAGAGAGTGAGAGAGAGAAAGAGAGAGAGAGAGAGTGCTACAAGTAGTGACAACCCTTGTGGATCGATCGGCTGATCGGCAGGCCGATGGAGCCGCAACACTTCGCTTCTCCACCATCCTCGTGTTCGACCGACTTCAACCATTCGAATATAGTCAAAGATGTCCTCCGCCACGACTGCGCGCGAAACGACAACCGCCTCCGCTTATAATCCCACAGAAGTCGAAAGCAAAACGCCAGATTCTTCGATTCCGGTGCGTATATATATATGTATTTAGTATATATATATCAACAGCGCGCAATAAATATATAACGAATATGTTCAAACAGGTAGTAGGTCTTCTCCTCTATTTATGATAAGACAGAAAAAGACCAATTCTCTAAATTTTAATAAATTAAAATTCACCTAAAATAAATTTCCTTTTTTTTTTATTTCATTTTTTTTTTCATATTAAAAATTTTTTTTTTTCACTTATTGAAAAAAGTGAAAGACTTTATTCTATATCAATTTTCACTTATTCGGATTTAGAGATATTTCCCCCTTTCTGCAGATGGTATTAATAATATAATATAATATATATATATATACGTTGAAACAAATTTAAATGTCAGTGTTCCTTATATAATCGATTTTCTCTTCTCGAAGAAACAAACTCAATTAAGATTACAATCTTTCAAATTTCTCTAATTTATTTTTCAATTACATTCTTTGAAAAATAACTTCGATTTTCAAATTTTATTTTTATATTATCTAATGATAAATTCTTATCATTTAATATTAAATGAGAAATTCATTGTTCATCCAAAAAAGAAATTCCAATTATTTCAGTTGACATTGATCAATTATTTTTGATTCACATAAATTTTTTAATTCAAGAAAATTTAATTTAAACTAATAAAATTTTCATGCATCAAAAAAAATAATTAAATCAAATACGCACAATATGGGTTCTCTTGATTTAATACTTTTTCCATTGTATATTTTTTTAATTTTATTATATTAGAATAACAAAACTAGAATGAATAACAAAAAATATATTTGGTTCAAATAATTAATTTTCAAATAAATATTTATTTGGCAGCAAATAATTTGCTATAATAAATATTTATTTACAAATTTATAACAGTCAAGTGACGAATTATTTGAAACAAATAAATAAAAAAAAATAATTCAAAACAAAATTTGAAGATTTAAATTTGTTTCTTTCTCCACGAAAAATGGTTCGGGACCCACTTTTTTATTTTTAAAAAAAGTTATAAAAATTTTACTTTTATAGTGAGAAAAAAAAATCTATTACAATTTATTAATAAACAGTCGAGATTCTGACACGGCCTTCAAATAACTGCCATCTCTGTCTATAAAAAAAAAGATTCCTTTTCTGTCTACAGAAAGGGGTAAAAAAAAACCCTCTATTCTTATAAAAAAATATTGGAGGAAACTTAATAGGAAATTTTTTTTTGTGAAAATCGCAACAACCGATAAAATGAAAAAAAAGAACCGAAATCTGTACTTCTGGGATTCAGCGAATTACCATTTAACGCAGTTTTTAGATACGAAAATAATTGTTTGTATGATATAACGTCTAATATCGCGAGGCGGACAAAAAAAAAAAATAATTCGCCAATTTAGATAGCTGCAACTGGACTACGAAAAAGAAATAAAAAAAATAATTATAATTACTGCCAGTTGGATCGCCACACAATTTGATGTTCCAGGGAAAATATTTCTTAATTAATCTAAGATTTTTTTTTGTGTTGGAATCTTGTTAAAAAAAAAAAAAAAAAGTGTCATCGATATTTAATTTCCCTCGCAAGAATAAAGAATTCTCTCTATTTCTGTTTAAAATACAATAATATTGATTAGCTAAAAAACTTTTTTTTTCTTTTGCCTTTCTTAAAGTCGAATTTCTTGTCTAATTGAAAAACATTACTTGATTCTCTTCTATCAGAAAACTCAAACATAAGAAAGAACTCTTGCTTGTTGAGCGCACAAGTATATATAAAGTCACGAAAATCGATAGTTCGTCAACTGTGAAAAAGATCATTTGTACTTCTTTCCTTCTCCCAATTTAGTCTTTTTCCCGCGAGTCTCAGTGACCTTAAACTTTTTCCAATCCAAAGTTTTCAAAGTCCACTGAGTCAATAGATAGGACCAAATATATATATCTCGACGCTTCTAAAAATAATTTCTTTTCAAAAATATAATCTTCATCAGTGAATTTTTAATGTCTTCCTTTTTAAGAACTAGTATTCTTCAATTTATAAACAAGAATAATTATCAAGATTCTTTATTGAAAAAAAAAATAATTATTTAAATAAATCAAACACTAAATATTACAGAAAACAAAAAATTACAAAATTAAAACTTGTTTCGCTGTGATAAAAAAAAAAAATAACTGAGATATGAAAAATGAAATATAATAGAGAATGGAATTAAAATTAACAAAGCTCGTTACAGTTCGGACAATGGAAAAAGTACTGAAAAATAGAAGAAAAAAAACTATTTCCTCATAGAGATAGAATGGAAAGGAAGGAGAGTTTCGTTGACGAAAAAAAAATTTTATTCACATATCCCTTTAAGTATTAGATCCAAATGGGAACAAGCAGTCTATGTCGATTCCCAATCAACTTGACTGTTTACTCTGTCCGACTCGGATGTGTTTCGAGTTCGTCTACAAACAAAACATGCATATGTACATGATAGAGTATCAAACTCAAATGTTCAGCTCTCTCTCTCTCTCTCTCCCTCTCTCTTTTCTCTGTGTATTGGGGACCAGAATTTGAAAGTGTGACACAATCGACACAAACGTGTGCTGTCGATTTCAAATGTCTGTCACATGTGGGAACAAAGCCAGATGAATTTTAAATCAACTCTCCAACCTCAACTTATATATCCCGAATTACAGACCAAGCTTATATAAATATTAAAAAAAAAAAAATTTATAATAATTGGAAAAATTGATTCATTTCTGTCAAAAAAAAAAGATACGCTTAAAATGACACTTTAAAGTACTTTTTCTACTAAGAACAAAAATATATTTAAAAATTGTCTGACTGAAACTTTCTTTTACTACTAATAGAAAACCAAAACAATTTATTTAGTCTGACTAAAACAACCTTTACTACTGATTTTAAATAGTAAGAATTAAAAAATTTTGGCCTAATTAAAACAGTGTTTTACAACTAATTCCAGGATTACAAAATTCAAAACATGTCTGACCAAGTCTAATTTTTTCTACTGATAACCCACTTGGAAAGATTCCCCGGAAAGTGCCCCCTGGAGGTTCTATCAAAATTCCGCCGGAACTTCCAACGTAATTCCGTCGGAATTCCATCGGAGTTCCAAAGAATTTTCGATTGGATTCCGACGGAATTACGATTAATTTTTTTCAAAATTTTTAGAATCCTAATTCCGTCGGAATCCCAATGGAAATTCTTTAGAACTCCGATGGAATTCCGACGGAATTACATTGGAAGTTCAGGCGGAATTCTGATAGAACCTCCAGGGGGCACTTTTCGGAGAATCTTTCCAAGTGGAAACGAACAAGAAAATTGAACTCTGACTGAAACTTTCTTTCACTACTGACAGAAAACAAAACAATTTATATACAGTCTGACCAAAAACCACCTTAACTACTGATTTTAAATAGCAAGGATATGAAATAAACATGTCTGACTAAAACTGTATTTTACTACTTACAGAAACTGTGTTTTTCAACTAATACCAAACACAAAAATTGAAGAGCCTTACTGAAACTTTCTTTTATTACTAATAGAAAACAAAACCAGTCTGACTAAAACAATCATTACTATACTGATTTTAAATAGTATAAATTTAAAATAATTTGTCTGACTAAAATGGTATTTTACTACTTAGAGAGTTATAAAAATCGTAACCTATCTACCAGATTAAAATAATACTTTCAAATATTTTGTCTTGACTATAAATGACACTATCACTACTGACACCAAATTCAGAATAATGTAAAGTCTGACTAAAACGATATTTTACTACTGATTTCAACATTTTTTGTAGAATTTAGAACCTTTTTCTGACTGCATTACCTAAAAACACAATATATTAATTTAATAATTAAAATGATGAAAAAAAGTAATTAATTTAATAATAATTAAGATGATCAAAATAATAAAAAAAAGTAATTAATTTAAAAATTAAAATTTGATTTGCAAGATCCAATTACAAGAATTTCGGCAGAAAAAAATTGTTACAAAAACCTAATTTCCGTGACATAAAAAAAGATATAAACAAGTTGAGCTAACAGAGGAGAATGAAAATGACCACAAGGCTATCATAAATCCTATATATATATATATGCAAGGATCTAAAAGGGATGGTCCTTTGTATCAGCCATTTTGGCATATAGTGCAATATGCAAAGTTCTCCCGTCCATGTGATGCAAACGTGTCAAATTTCCAACTTCTCTGTCTCTCTCTCTCTCTCTCTCTCTCTCTAGTAGGAAATTCCCCACACCCTTTTTGGCACGCCCTTATATGTCCCTAACTTGCAACGTGCGGTATACGAATTCAGAGATCACATGACCATTATAAACTTATTTTAAGCCAACAAACTTGGGAGAGTGAGCGAGAGAGCAAGAGAGAGAGAGAGAGAGAGAGAGAGAGAGAGAGAGACCCAAACCAACCGCTGTCGGAAACTATGTCGATGCTTTCCAGTTTTCGGTGTCCAAAGTCAAACTAAGCGTACTGCGGAATATTACATCCGAGATGGAGAAATTGCTTACCATGTCGAGCAGAGACGAAATTCGCCAAGTTCTAAGTGCTTCTTGCAAACATCAACTTTCCTGACATATCTTCTATTTTCAACAGTTTTGCTTCTTCACTTTTACTCACAAAAACCACATTTTCACCGCATTCAAACAAAAATACTCGGAAACGAAGTACAAATAATTGTTTAAACAAATGTTAAATTGTGAAAAAAGAAAAACAAGAAAAATATTTAATTTCATGTTCGATTCAAAAAAAAAAAAAATCACAATTTTCTATGGAATTAAAATCAATCATCAATCGTTTTTTAAAAATATGATTAAAAGAATTTTAATTTAATAGAATTTGATTTGAATTTTTAAATGACAGAAATTCTAATATAATGAATTTAGTTTGTCCGAATTTTTAATTATGCTACAATTTTTAAGATGCCGAATTTTCATTTGTCCAAAAGTATATAAATGGCAGAACAAACAATCGACAAAAAGAATTCGGCATAATTTTTAAAATTGATCAATCAAGATGTTTTTAATAATTTCTAATTCGTCAATTTTAAAAATTGCGCCCATATCTTTCTGTCGATTGTTAGTATCGTCATTTGTAATTTCGGACAAATTAAAATTCGGGATCTTAAAAAATTTATAAATTTGTACAAATAAAAATTCGGACAAATGAGAATTTTATAAAAATTCGTATAAAAAGAAATTCCATTAAATGCTAAATTCGAAAATTCATCAAAAAAAAAAAAAAATTTCTAATAAAATTCTATAAAAATAAAAATTCTAATTAATAATTTTTTATGATATAATCATACAGCCCGTAATCGAAATATATTTAAATTCCTTTAAACTAAATATTACAGTTTCAATTTCAAAATCACATTCTACTTTTTCTTTTTTTCTTTTTTTTTTTTTTTATCTAAAAGTCAAATAATTCGACAGAAATTGAGTATTTCTTTTTGTTCCACCTAGACGCGAGATATATATACTTTCGCAAAGCTCATTTATCAAGCAAGAAAAAAAATGAGTTCTTTCTGTTTGTCAAAGTAAAATGAAAATCAGACGAGACTGCGAACATCGATATGAAATCTCATAATTGCAAATTGAGAAAGCAAAAAAAAAAAAGGAAAAAAAAAACGCCTGAAGGGGTTTTTGCTTTTTAAAATTTAACAAAGTACCCTCTTGAACCAAAAAAAAAAAAAAAAAAAAATATCCCTGCGTTTGTAGGAAAATACTTTATTCTTTATATTGCAAAATTATTTCCTCACGACAATACTGTGTAATAATAAAACTAGCAATTAAACTCAAATGAAAATTTTTTAAGCTGGTCTTAAAAGTTTCATAAATATATAAATATATATTATGTCGGCGTGGAATTAAATTTTATCAATAATTCGAGGGTTATTTTTTTCACAATAAAAAAAAAAAAAGCAGAATATCGACGATAAAAAAAAACACAAGATTCCAAACGAGAGGCGATTCTTTCTAGGCGAATTGATTATATAAAAAAAAAAATTAATTAAAAATGCCGATATATGTGAGAACGCGATCCAAGTTCATAAATCTAACAATTATAAACCGCATATAATTAATAAACTATCACTATCTAGTCAGTATCCATAGGAATACGTTTTAAAACTCAATTATACGGCAATCTAATTAGGAAACTGATTAGAGGACTTTCATTTTTTCAAACTATAATTATAGGGAAATATTCCCTTTCTATTAAAAAAAAAAAAAAAAAGTAAATATAGATTTTTTGTTTAATTTGATGTTGTGTGTAACAACGATAGATAATTAAAAAAAAAAAAAATTTGAATAGAGAGGAAAAAAAAAATTGACGACGAGTAAATAATATAAATTTACTGTATTAGGGAAAATTCGTTATAGTAAACGATAAAAATTATTATACCGATCATCTGCCTCGTGATGACAAGCGTTAAATCTGCAGGCAGGACACTCTCGTCGGACGATCGACAATTAAGGCTCAAATATACCTATATATATAATATATATAAATATATTAGAATCGAAAAGAAAAAAACATAAAAAAAGGATTAATATGCTAGTTAAATCGAATCGAGTAAAAACAAAAAAAAAAATATACTTTATCAATAATAATATAGATAAAAGGATTTTATATTAAAAAAAAAGAAGTGAAAATGCGTGTAATGAATGTTGATAATATATAAAAATAAAAAAAAATAAAAAAAAACCCACGTTATACATATTCGTAAATAACCGACTTCGGTAGCATTAAAAAAAAAAAAAAAAAGAGTTTTTACGTGTAAAAATCCAAACCTAAATGCCTCTCGATCGAGCGTTTAATAATAAATACTAATAATAAAATAATAATAGTAATATAATAAAATAGTAATAAAATATTATTTAAAAATTTTAAAAAAAAACCGGTGTGAGCGTTATGTAAAACGGTATAAAAGATTCTGTAAATAAAAAAAAGGACAAGCAATAGAATCTGCCGTCGTACTCTTTTACCCTCCCCCCCCTGGGTCAATAATTACCAATTTTGATGTATCTGCTAATCTTACCACTTTTTTTTTTAAATTTTTCAAAAACTCAAATAATCCTCGATTTGCTGTACTAGTTTTTCAATTTTTTTTTTACTACAAAAAAATACTCATTTTTATCGAAAAAATTCATTATAACAATGGCAACTTTGTTTTCTATAACAAAACTTTTAAAAAAAAAATTTACTAAAGAAAAATTTTTACTCTTTTTCTAAAGAAAGTTTTTAATTTGGACACTGGAAAGAGTTTTAAATTTACTTTAAAAAGTCGTGTTTTTTTATTACTAATTCTCTAGTAATGATTAAATCCTTTTTTTACAGTGGTAAATAATTTAATATTTGTTAATTGCCAAATAGCCCCTTAAAAAAAAAGAAAAAATCTCCGTAATGAATTTTTTGTACGAGACAATCAATATAGAAAATTTTCAATTTGATTATTTTTTTTCTCGCGAATCCCCCCCTAAAAGAAAGATTATGCAGCAGAACGTGAAATTATTGACTTTGGCACGTCCTTCTGCTAGTCTATCCAATCAGTATAAGGCAAAAATTTTAAGATCGACCAATCAGGAATTTTTTTTTTTCTATTATATAGAGAAATAAGCAATTTCACAATATATTTCACGTTATTTGCTATATATGTATATATAAATATGTATATGCCAAAAACCAGGGTAATTTTTCGCTGAGTTCTTGCATTATACTGATTGGACCAAGAATCAGCATCACACTCTCTCTCTGTACATCTATTTCTCTACTATCTATAGGTCGGCTAGATTTTTCATGAAAAATAATAAAAAAATAAAAAAAAAAAAATTTATGCCAACAAAAGACTCAAATCGAGATATACGCGCGACGACCCGATTCTCGTTTGTCCTCATAAATAATTCTGATGAAAAATAACTTTTGCAAAATAAAGAGTGAAAAAAAAAAATGTAAATAATTTCTGTGATAATAATCGATTTGCCGACGTTATCAAACAACCCGACTCATTTACGACTTTTACCTAATGCACCCAAGTCAATATGTACTGAAAATAAATATCAATATTTACTTAATATCGCTAAACACAAACACAATATTTAAAAAAAAAAAATTTTTTATTTCTTTTAAATCTACAACTGTTAATTATTTTTGTAAATCAGTTTTAGATGATTTATTAAATTTTTTAGATTCAATGTTACATTTGCAGAAATTTTTTTATTTGAATAGAAAACAAAGACACAAATACAATTTCAAGAGTATAAAAAATTCCAATTCCAATTAGTTTGGTGAAATTTCTAGTGATTGGCATTTTTTTTTTTTTTTTTTTTTTGTGTTGTTAAAAGATTAATGGGTACTCTAAAAAGCGGTGTCGATGGGATTCGTTTCTAGGCCGCGAACTTTCATCTAAATTCGACTCGTCTTCATTTCCGGTTTTATTACGGATCAATGGCTTTCAAACGATCAATAAAAAAAACTAAAACGATGTTTTCTGTAATACCTTCGCGTAATAGGCAATCTTTGCTCCCAAACAATTGGTCCTTGTAGAGAGAAAAGAATTATGGAGAGACAGAAAAGAATGTGAACCGAAAAAAAAGAAAATAAAAGACGTGCCTCGGATTTTATATATCATTTTCTCCTCCAAAAAAAATATATATATATCTTGACTTTTAATACACGAAATAAATCACATTATGGTCAAAGTCGTAAATGAGTTGTTTTTGTTTTCTTTATTTTATTTTTTTTTATATCTAATTTGCAGAACGAGAGAATGAGTGTTCACTTTTGTCTTAAAAATTTTTTCGAGATAACAAAGAAACGAATTATTATTTCTGTTAATAAAACTATTTAAAAATATTCAGAAATGTTAATTTTCAAATTTAATTTCTAAATTAAATAATCCGCCATTGAAATACAAAATATAAGTTTATAAAAGAAATTTTCTAAAACAAAATTTTAAACATTCAAAAATAAAATTTTAAAAATGAAATTTAAAAAATGAAATTAATACAAATTTTAAATAGAAAATAAAACAAAAATCGAATTTCCAATCTATAATAGAAAAATGAGATTTTTGGATAAAAAATAAAAAAATAAAAATAATTTTAAAAAAATTTTACGCAAAACTTTTTAAAATAAAATTAAAACGGTCAATTTAAAAAGGAGGTGAGCACTCTAGGACATTAATATATATGTATAGAAGCCCTCACAGACAGACAAACAGACACGCAATCAGTCATTCAATCAGCAACTCTCAGGCGAAACGGAACATAGAACATTTACACAAAGATCATAAATCACAGAATGTATGTATTTGTATGTACGTACGTATACATGTGTGTTTGTGAAACATTAAATTGAATATGTGTATGTATAAGTATGCATGTAAATAGCGAGAACCGCGTAACTGTATAATAAACCGAACCTGCTAAAATGAACTATGTAAATGAATTGAAAACGTTAAACTAATGAATAGTATGAACTGTTAATAAATTTTAAGATTAACCAATTAAATAATAAAACTAAAAAAAAAAAAACATGAAGGAATTGAATTAGGTTATATACGAGAGATACGTAGAATTTGTCCCTCTTTAACTCCGTTTCCATATTATTTTCTTTTTTTTTCTCTCCCTTTTTACAATATTTTTAATGATAAATTTGCCATTGATATTGATTTATCATGTACCATCCAGCCTCCATGTCCAATATTCCGCACGACCATTAACCAATTGCAAATTAATAAACGGCTTAGCTTCATGTTCGAAATTACATTATGTCAGGGAAAAATCTTGTAAAATTTACAACTTTCATTATACTCTTTGGCTATAATCATTATTTATTTAAATTCAGAGAAAATTAATTTTTTTTTATTATTTCACTCACAAAAAAAATAGTATTTTAAATTAGAAAAGTAAAAATAACAAAAATTTTTAAAAAGAACACAGAAAATTAAAAGGCATTAAAATAAGCTGCAACGCTTATTATTTTAATCCAATTTTGCTTATTTTAATACCAAAATGGATTAAAATAAGCAAAATTGGATTAAAATAATAAGTGTTGCAGCTTATTTTAATGCCTTTTAATTTTCTGTGAAATTTAGAATATCGAAAATGCATTTTAGAGTTTTGTAAATTTCCTTGTATGTATTGTAATTTCTTTCATAATCGAAAAATTTATTTCTATTTCACTAAATTATTATTTTATTATTAATATTATTATTCCATTAATATTGTTATTTTACTATTAATATTGTTTTTATTTTTCTTGTTATAAACTATGAAATAACAAAAATAATATCCGCGAGCTTTAAAATGGTACTAACGTTTTTGTTAAAAAAAAAAATTGATTTTTAGTAAAAAAAAAAAATCAAAATTGTACCACTAACCTTATTTCCTTCGAAAAATTGTAATTTTTGACAATTAGATCTGCTTGAAACACACGCATTTTGGAAAATTTCGAACACTCCCGAAATTATGTTTATTAAATTAAAAAACAATACTTTTTTCTATAAAAATTAAAACGATCACAATTTTAAGAATTTCGAACACTCCCGGTAAAAAAAGGACTTTTCCTAAAAATTTAAACGATCGCGGTTTTAAAAAATTTCGAACACTCCCGGCAACAAAATATACTTCTTTTTTTTTGAAAAATTTACACGATCACGAGTTTAAGAATTTCGAACACTTCTGGAACAAAAAAAAAATTTACTAAAATTAAAAAAATTTATATTTAACACAGACTATTTTTAAAATTACAAAATTTACACGATCACATCTAAACAGGTCAAGACACGCATTGCAACTGATTGAAAATTACATTTATGGGATTTTCAATTAATGACCTTCGACTAAAGGCATACCCTTTGTATTTCAATGTAAACATTCACAGCTCGGGATTCGCAGGTATATAAAAAGGTAATAAAATTTTCCACAAATAATAATTAAAATAATTTGAAATTATAATTATTGAAAGTGTTTCAAGATATTATTTATTAAACACAAAAATAGTTTTTTTTTCAAAAAGCTTAGTATTATTTCTAAAGTTCAAAAAAAAAAATTTCTTTGAAATTTCCAAGAATTTTCCTTCAAAGATTGAATTTCCTTTCAAAAGATTTTAATGGATTTTCATTTTTTTTTTTTTTTAATGGAAATGATTGTACAATTGAGAAATTTTACTATTATATTATTTTACTTTTTTAATTAGACCAACCAATAAATTTCAATTAAAACACGTTTGCCCCTTTTTCTAAATTTATTGATTAAATTTTTTTTATTTTCACTCTTTCTCACACGTCAAGTATCATCATCATCACTCAGCACGACCACCAAAAAAAAAACACAGTTTTTCCACTGTGAAATGGAAATTGTTCGATTACATGAATCTCCATGTCTATACAACCATTTTACTAAAAAAAAAAAAAAAAAAATTCGTTCAGTACTTTCAAGCCCTGTTCTATCTATTTTTACGAGGATAGTGTAAAGTGATTTCACCGGGAATAATGCCAAAGGCAAAATGATTTTTTGATGAGAAAATATGTGTTTTAATTTAACCCTCTGTTCCCATTGTTAATACTATATATATTTTATAAATTAAAGTTAGCAAAAAAAATATTTCAATTTTATTTTAGTGCGTCTAAAAAATAAAAAAAAATATATTTTCATTTTTATTAAATTGTATTTTTTCATCAATTATATTGTTTTTATTAAATAAAGTTATTTCATTAGTTAAGAGAGCGTTTTCTTTTCTATATATATCAACCGTTTTTTAAAATTAAAAACATTTTTAATGTTTTCATATAAAAAAACAAAGTTTTAATAAAAATTATCTTATAATTAAAATCGATAATTAGTCCATATATATTAATTAAAACATCTTGAAATAATAAAAAAAAAAAAAAATGCTTTTCAATTAAACCGTCCTTTAATAATTAATCAAACAATTTCTCATTATCATCACTCATGATCATGAATATTTTCTTAATTTGCTCAAATATTTAAAGAAAAATTTCCATTTTTTTTTTTAAATGAAATATTAAATTTATCTCGTTTTTATTCCCTCTTTTTTTTCTACTATAATCAATAAAATAATATTGAAGAATCGTTTGTTAATTCAACAACACTTCATAAAATGCACATATAATAATAATAATAATAATAATAATAATAAACTAAAAGCCGCGCGGTATGCTCAAAATATAGAGGAAAGTTATCTTGTATTCATGCGTTTAAAGATAATTAAAAAAAAAAAAAAGGAAATGCGTCGGTAATTGTTAAAGCATAAATGCGTTAAATAAAGCGATCTGTGAAAAAAAACCAATTCGAATAAGGACCCTTTAAGTTAAATCAGCGATTCCTGTAAATCAAGCGAATAAATAATAATATTAATAATAATAAATCGATAAAAAAAAAAAATTAAAAACGAGAGACGCGAGAAAAGTTGGACGAAAGCGAAAAAAAAGTAAAGAATGAAAGTATTATTTCAAGAAGTTACTATTTTATTGCTTTCCTTGTCCTTATAGATGACTGGAATTAAATAATAATTAAAAATTAATTCAATTTTTCTAAACGCAATCATCGGGAAAATTGCTATAAAAATACAAAAAAAAAAAAAAATTCTATAATAATATTTGTTAAGTTGAATTTTTTTTTTTTATTTAATAAAAATAATTCTTCGCGAAGAACTTAAAACACTGTTCCCTATTTACGAACACATTTTCATCAAAAGAGCAGACAATGGAAGAAAAGAATATTGATTTTTACAAAAAAAAAAAAAAAAAGTTACATTCTTACTTGGAGGATTTATCTTTCCTTTTGTAGCCTTTGTGCTGTCGAGTTTACATGGAATTCTATTTTTCAAAAAAAAAAGTTCCTCGCCCTTATTTATTGTTCCTTAATCTCATCATTCAATAGGATTTCATTAAAAAAAAAGAGTTCAAATTTATTTATTTAAAAATAAAAAATAATCGACAATGAAAATAATTTTTTTTTAAATCATCTTAAAAGAATTTTATTTTTAATTAAAAAAATATTTTATTCAATTTTTTTGTTATAAGAAAAACAATTTTTTTTTTATTCGTCAAAATCGATAATTTCGTGAATTGCGACAGTTGATGTGAAACTTCAATTTTCACAACTGCAAGTATCACACAAAACCAATGACGGATCTATTTTACCGTTAAACTCATTTATCCTCGCGCGGTCGGCAGTAACGATCGTGTCGTTTCTGTGATAAGCTATATATATATATAGTTTGGAAAAAGGTCCAATAGTCTCAAGTGCGAATCAATGTAATCCATGAGTAATGTGATGTTAAGAAAGAAAAAATCGAGGGAAAAACTTTTGACGAAAATCTTCAGAAAAAAAATTCCTCACTTTTCTTGCAAGTATCTAGAAAAGAAAATATTATATGCTCCACGTGACGACTCTGCCACGCCTATTTGATCTTTATCAAAGAACCTCACAAACGTCAGCTGCCTCCGACCAAAAAAAAAAGACGATAAGAAAAACAGGAAATGCACCAAAAAGAAAATTATGCAAAATTTTTAAGAAAAAAAAGAAGCAATTTTCAAAAAAGTTGAAAATATTTATTTCAAAAAATTATCTTTATTATTTTATTATTATTATTTATTTTATAAAAAAAAAAGATAATTTATTTGAAATTAACAGAAAAAAAAAGAAAATTTTTAAAATCTTTTAAAATGTTAAAAAGTTCTCTAATATACAAAATTTTTTCAATTTTTTTGCCCTTCAAATAATTATTCAATCATTTTATTATTTTCACAGAAAATTAAAAGGCATTAAAATAAGTTGCAACGCTTATTATTTTAATCCAATTTTGCTTATTTTAATCCATTTTGGTATTAAAATAAGCAAAATTGGATTAAAATAATAAGCGTTGCAGCTTATTTTAATACCTTATAATTTTCTGTGTTCTTCAGTCTATAATACTTTCCTGAAAATTTAGCAGCAATTTTTTTAATGGTGCCCGCGACACTGAAAATATAGCAAAATCGTCGAAAACTTTTATTCCCTAATAAATTTTGTTTTCAAAAATAATTTTTCACGAGAGTCCACACACAATTTAAAAAAAAAGAAAATAAAATTTAAAAATAATATCAAAAAGTTTTTTTTTTTTTTTTTTTAGTTTAAAAACCCTTAAACCGACCACTTAAATATATAAAGAAAACTTTTTTCCTAATTGCTTTGTTTTTCGACGAGCGAAAAAGTTGCTATTTTTCCTCCTCCCCCCCCCCCAACCAGAAAAAGAAAAACTTTTAAAGAACACTTTTAATTCTATCCTAAATAGAAAACTTTTTGAAATGAGAAATGAAAGTTTTCTCCGTCTCTCTAACATTATATATGGAATGTCGACCCGCGCATTTAATAAACGCGAAAGATTTCTTTACTCTATACTTTTTATATTAATTGTGTACAATAAAAAAAAAAAAAAAAAAAAAAAAATAGAAACAAAAAACGAAATTGGAAATGCTGAAGAGGAGGGAAATTATGATAATCACTTTTGTATATTTACGAATAAAAAAAAAATTGCGTGACCTATAAATAAAAAAAACTAATCTGTAAGATTTAAAAAAAAAGAGAGAAATCGATAAAATGACAAAACAATACATTATCGCATAATTTTTCATACGAACTAAAAAGATTTTTAAATAATAAGTCGTGTAATTATTACGATAAATGTAATTAGATGAATGGCCTGTTTTGAAAGCAGAAAGAAAACATGAATTTATAATGATAATTAAAATAGTAATGATTCTCGTTCCAAAAAAGAAAAAATTAAAAAAAAAAAAATATTAATATAAATAGGTATTAATATTTAATATGAAAATTAAATTTTTCCAAATTCAAATTTTTTCCCATATTCATTAGATCGAATATAACATTTTTTTTCGAATTAAAAAAATATTGATCCAAAGTGGAAATTTATTTCAATTTTAGAAAAATTTGAAAAAAAATTCATAGTGCAATTTTTGAATTTTGAAAAGAAAAAAAATGGAAAATATAGAACGTTTGCTATATATATATATATATATATATAAAATGTATATCAAAGAGAGAGGCTTTATTTCTGAGTATCTCATTCGCGAGTGTACTTCGCGCTCGCGTCATTTCTTTCGTCATGAAAGAAAAGTCGCGTTAAAAAATGTACACAGATTTCATATATACATATATAACAAGTATACCTCAAGAATGAGAGAGAGAACGATTATCATTATTATTATTATTATCAACGTTATTTTGCGTCGCGAATGAAAGAAAGAACGAGAGTTGTGAATGTAACATTAAAAAAGAGAGAAAGAATATTAAAAAAAAATAAATAAATTCGAATATATATGAATACAATATCGAAATCAGAGAGATTAAAATAAAGGTTTTGAGGCTTGATAAAACATTGATTTTGTATAGCAAAGCACCTTTTAAAATCACTGCTGTTGATTAAATTGCGAGAACTTAATAAATAAATAAATATAAATTCAATGTAGAAAAAAAAAAAAAAATTATATAGAAAACATTTTTTGCTCGTACACAGCGAAAAACGAGCAATCAAATGCGTCGATTTAAGAAAAATTAATGTCGCTCTATATACATATATATATATTATTTTTTAAATGTACGCGTACACACTTTTTTGTGAATGTAAATATATTGAGCGTTGCGTTGTATGCTACAAAAAAAAAAAAGATAATGTTTACGAGTATGAAAAGATACGATGTTATCCGGATGTTATATATATATATAAAAATATATAGGATCTGGGATGAGGAACTCTTTCCCAAAAAAAAAAATAGAAAGAGAAAGACACAGTCAGGCTAAACAAACACTCTCGTCGAGTTTAAAAAAAAAGCGAGAGAAAGCAAGAGAGAAAGAGAGAGAGATAGACTATATACAAGAAACACTATTTTCAAGTTCAGGAAATTGCTCCGACTGTCGTAAAAAAAAAGTTCCTCATGTCTGATCCGATGATGGTACTTCTTCTTCTTTTTTTTTTCCTTTTTTTTTAAAAGCAAAACGCACAACTGCTGAATGCGCTAC